GATCGTGACCTGGCTGAAGTCGGACGCTTAACCGACTGCGCCACCCAGGCGCCCCAGGGAGGTTCTTTTTAATGAGTGAATTAACATTTCTACAATTTCCCACTTTAATACTGAATGCAGTAAATACTGATAGACATAACCACATAAACAAAACTCTTTGGGAGCCTCAATAATTCTAGCACGTGCTAGTATACAACTCTGTGTGTGCGCACGTGTCTGTGTGTATGTCAGTGAATAAACGTGCTTTTTTTCTGGACTGGGACTCCAAAGTCCCGTCAATTCTCGTCAATTCTCCAAGTGCTGATACACCAAACATAAAAGTGGTAAATGATCAGCTTGAAGAGGCAGAAAAACTGAACACCATGACGGATCAACAGTCCACCAAGAGGTGGGTTTTGGGGGCAATGACGGGGCTTTACACGGTAACGTAATCCCTTTGTTTGCCTCCAACCTGGGAATAATAATACAGTTCTATTTATGTCAGCAGGAAGGTATATGTGAAAACATTTTGCACATCAGAGATGACTCAGAGACCATCAAAATCTTTGCCAGTGTTTGTTTCTAAAACACATGAAATTCAAGTTCCTGAGACCTTTGCGCCTTGACCTCTACCCTGGCTGCAGTGAGGAGAGAAAGTATGAAGTCTCGGGCTGGTGTTTGCAGTTTCCCTTGCAGCCACACTCTGGATGACCGAACCCAGAGAGAAGATGAGATGTGGGCTTGTCTGGCCATCGGGGTAATACCTGCACGTTCACACATCACTTGTTCTTGTGTTGTTTGGCCGAGGGCCTACCTGGCAGCTTAGCTAGCTCCTGCCTAGAAATGGGATGAGATGAGAATAGGCCAGGACTTGTTACTTGCTCCCAATGGAGCCTTTCCCAGACACTTAACTTCCCTCTCTCACCATAGGTGGCTTGCACAATTACTTCAATATCCTTCCTATGGGCAATGATACTCTTACTTTCCTATGCTTCTTCTGCAGGCCTTGGGGTATTGAATATTTAACAGGGGTGTGCCCAGGCCAGGCTGAATGTGAGGAAGGGACTGGGATCAGGACCCAGGCCTCTCTGGGCAATGATTTTCAGGCAAGTTAAGAATATTGAGTGCCGGGGGTGCCTGGGTGGCTCAGGGGTGCAAGCGTCTGACTTTGGCTCGGGTCATGATCTCGGTTCGGTGAGCTCGAACCCCAGGCTCTCTGGGTCAGCATGGAGCCTGCTTCAGATCCTCTGTTTTCCCCTCTCTGCCCCTCCCCAAGTCTCTAAATAAATAAGTAAATAAATATTTGGGGCACCTGGGTGCTCGGTCAGTTAGGCTCAAGTCATGATCTCACGGTTCTTGAGTCTGAGCTCCGCATCGGCTCACTGCTGTCAGTTCAGCGCCCACTTCAGATCCTCTGTCCTCCTCTCTCTCTGCCCCTCCCCTGCTCTCTCTTTCTCTCAAAAATAAATAAGAAACACTAAAAAAATGATGAGTGCCAAGTGGCCCATGAAAACTGGAGCTCCCCCTCAATAAAGGTGGCAGTTGAGGAAAAAGAGCCATAAAACCACACTGATCTCTATTTTATTTTATTTAAAAAAAAAATTTTTTTTTTAACGTTTATTTATTTTTGGGACAGAGAGAGACAGAGCATGAACGGGGGAGGGGCAGAGAGAGAGGGAGACACAGAATCGGAAACAGGCTCCAGGCTCTGAGCCATCAGCCCAGAGCCTGACGCGGGGCTCGAACTCACGGACCGCGAGATCGCGACCTGGCTGAAGTCGGACGCTTAACCGACTGCGCCACCCAGGCGCCCCTCACTGATCTCTATTTTAATGAAAACACCTTCTTTACTGATAACAAGCTTAGGACGGTTGAGTTGGGCAAATTCCTAACAATACTTCCTCCGAGTTCTAAGGCAGCTTTCGTTCGTAAATGCCAGGTATGAATTTCTCAATGTTGTACCTTCATGAAACATAGCAAGTTTAAACATAACCATTCTACTACTGCCCACCTCTGAATTCGATCTTATGTCCTGAAAATGGCTAAGACCTTTCAAGGTGTTAATTAATCTTTCAATAGCTTTCTATTTAATAGCTGGAAACTTGACCAAGCTATGTGATCCTTATAAAACCTTAGACAGTTTGGGAGCCAGTAAGAAGATGAAGTCCAACAGATGTGAGTTTGGATTAGCTGGTGACCTAATAGTTGGTAAGCTATTTAACATCTTTAAGCCTTGGTGTCCTCACTTGTAAAAGCATACTCACAATGTATTCAATAAATACAACTGGCACGTTTAACACATGCTGGCCACTCTTCTAGGCACCAGGCATACCAGGGTAAAAACAAGACAGACATGACCCCTGCTCTCATTGAACTTCTTGCAGGACGTGGATACTAAACAAAGATTACCTAATTAGGTCGTTAATTCCCTTTGCGGTCACAGCAGCCACCTCCGCAGATGTGAGCATAAAAGAGGCAAGCAAATTCAAAACTGGTGTCCCAATGCTATTTATTAGTTTTGCTAACAGTCCTAAGTGGTATAGACACGTGTTGTGAATTAGTTCCTCCTTTAGTGTTTGCATAGATTTACATGGTTAGAAGCAACAGCAGGCCTGTGATTTGGATGTGTGTCCTTTACAGATAAGAAGACAAGCATTCCTCCCGTGTGGGGGCTAGGGGCTTAACCTAAGGCAAAAAGCTGAACTTGTTGCTAATTGTTGTCAAGAAGAACACTTTAGCATTAACATTAACTGGACTGGCAGTGTTTACCTTATGAGCCCCAGAGCCTCAGGCGAGTGGAAGGTGTGGGCACAGAGTTTTGCAAAGGTTCTCTGAATATGGATGTGCATCAAGTATTGTCCGCAGAGTGAAAGTGTGTTGTTTTACCACATATGGACATGACTATAATCTGTGTAGGTGCTGATGTGATTAATGCAGTATAGATTCCTTGAAATAAATTGTTGAAGTCTTCCCAGCCTTTTTTAATTACATACTTTGCCAGTCAATTCTTATCCTGCCTCTTTCTGGCTTAAACCCTTTAACAGCTCTTCATTGCTCAGGGTAAAGTCCAAATTCCCTCCCAGGCACTGCCCGATTCTGCTGACCTCTCTTGGCATGTTCACTCCTCCCTCCTACCCCTGTCTATCCACCAAGTCCTAACACGAAGGCTCTTTCAGGCCATGGCTCGGAGCACTCACTGCTCAACTCAATATTTGTTCTGGCATGAACAGATCCAGTGCTCCTGAGTGGTAAAAAAATATCCACCCTTCCGGCAGGCATCATGCCCTTTGAGATGGGCATGGGTCCACTCGGGCACCGGCTCAGGCAGGTCTCACCTTGGGCCAGTGAGTGCTCGCCTAGACTGCCTCTCCCCTAGACTCCTGTGCACTCTCTCTCTCCACTTCTCTCGCTGGGAGTCATCGAGGCCCAGGCAGAGGTGAAGTCCCCCTAACTTCTTCCTCTGCATGCACTGTTGCAGCAACCCTGCCTTGCTGTCTTTCCAAACAAGTGCGTGAGCCATTTTTTGAAGTAAAGCCATTTTCCCTTCAAGGGTTTCAAAAAGAAGCAATCTTGGAAGTCACAAAACTTCTTTATGTCAGTTTTCCATGGACTCTCTTCAATGTTATACGGAAACCCAAGTCCATAATGGCCATGCCTTTACATGGCTATGCATGAGAATTATTCAAATCCCTGGGGCAAGAGTCATTGATAAAGATGAGGAGAGACATTTTTTACTCTTCTCCCCACCCTAAAACCCTCCAAAGAATGAAAAAGAGAAACAACTCCATCTTTTTTTTTTTTTTTTTTTTAATGTTTACTTATTTTTGGGAGAGAGAGAGAGAGAAAAGCGTGAGCGGGGGAGGGCAGCGAGAGAGAGAGACACAGAATCTGAAGCAGGCTCCAGGCTCTGAGCTGTTAGCACGGACGGAGCCTGACTCGGCTTGAACTCATGAACCACGAGATAGTGACCTGAGCTGAAGGCGGACGCTCAACAGACTAAGCCACCCAGGCGCCCCCAAATCCATCTTTTAAAAGAAGAGAAAAAAGAGAGTAATCACTCCATTTTTTTGTGAAATTTCATGCTAACAAAAGAATGTACTTAACATATATGAACAATTTAACTAATAGAAGTTAAATGAACACATGTACCTACCAACCTGCTTTAAAAAAAAATCTGACTCAAGTAGTGCCTTAGAAAGGTCCTGAGTATGGGGCGCCTGGGTGCTTCAGTCGGTTGAGCGGCCGACTTCGGCTCAGGTCATGATCTCGAGGTCCGTGAGCTTGAGCCCCGCGTTGGGCTCTGTGCTGACCGCTCAGAGCCTGTTTCGGATTCTGTGTCTCCCTCTCTCTGACTCTCCCCCGTTCATGCTCTGTCTCTCTCTGTCTCAAAAATAAATAAATGTTAAAAAAAAAAAAAAAAAGTCCTGTGTAGGCTTGTCCAATCATATCCCTTCCTCTCCCTCCAAGCAGTACCTACTATCCTGAATTCTGATTTAATCATTCCCTTCTTTTTCTTTAGAGATTTGTTCATGTATGTTTTCCTACACATATATTGCAAGTTGAGGGAATTTTTGCACTTACGGAAATCACAGAATGTATATTCTTCCATGACTTTTTTTTTTTTTTTTTTACTGTATGTTTTTAAGACCCATCAATGCTGCTGTGTGCAGCTACATAGTTCACTCATTTATTTTTTATTTTTTTTAATGATTATTTTTGAGAAAGAGACAGAAACATAGTGTGAGCGGGGGAGGGGTAGAGAGAGAGGGAGACACAGAATCTGAAGCAGGCTCCAGGCTCTGAGCTGTCAGCACAGAGCCTGACACGGGGCTCGAACTCACAAACTGTGAGGTTATGACCTGAGCCAAAGTCAGCTGCTTAACCGACTGAGCCACCCAGGTGCCCCTAGTTCACTCATTTTTATCGATGAATTGCATTCCATTGTTTTAATATGTGACCCTGTATTTACTCACACTCCTTGTAGCTATCATTTGTACGTTTCCTGCTTTTTGTTATTACAGCTGGTATTGAACATCCTTGTACCTGTCTCCAGCTTCTATGACATGAAGAAGCTGTTGACTGCCAAGTAAAGGTAAGGGCATTGTTCTGGAAAAGCCCATCTTAATGGTTCATTGTTCAGAACCATAAGGCAACATTTGGAATGACTCCAGAGAAGTAACTCCAGCCTTCAGGATGTAGTCAGTAAGGAGGAGGAAATAGAGAAGTCAGGTATAAGTGCCATGTTCATTATCTATGTCCAAGCCTCCTACCTGAGGGAATCTGCTAGAGGTGAGGGGGGATAAAGGAGGCGGGAAGAGGGAACAGTAATTATCAACAGTAACAGAAAGCCTGGTATGCACTGAATGTTTGTGTTCCCTCAAAATTCCTATGTTGAGACCTAATCCCTGAAGTTATGGTATTTGGAGGTGGGGCTTTTGGGAGGTGATTAGGTAATGAGGGTGAAAGCCTCATGAATGAGATTAGCGCCCTTTTAAAAGAGACCCCCCCCCCCCCCAGAGAACTCTCTCACCCTTTCTACCTCATATAGACACAGAGAGAAGATGCCCATCTATAAACCAAGAAGTGGGATCTCATCAGACACCTAATCTGCCGGCACCTTGATCTTGGACTTCCCAGCCTCCAGAACTGTTGAGAAATCAATGTTTGTTGTTCAAGCCCCCCAGTCAGTGGTGTTTTCTTTTTCTTTTTTTTTTTTTTTAATTTTTTTTTTCAACATTTTTTATTTATTTTTGGGACAGAGAGAGACAGAACATGAACGGGGGAGGGGCAGAGAGAGAGGGAGACACAGAATCGGAAACAGGCTCCAGGCTCTGAGCCATCAGCCCAGAGCCCGACGCGGGGCTCGAACTCCCGGACCGCGAGATCGTGACCTGGCTGAAGTCGGACGCTCAACCGACTGCGCCACCCAGGCGCCCCAGTGGTGTTTTCTTATAACAGCCCAAATAGACTAAGACAAAGTCTATCTTAGGGAGTATTACCACATTGATTTCCTACATCCTGGAAACTAGGGGAATGTGGCCCCAGACAAAGCAAAAACAGATTTGGGGACAATGCTCAAAGAAAATAAATAATTTAAAACTGTGGTCTGTCGAGAGGCACCTGGGTAGCTCAGTTAGTTGAGCATCTGACTCCTGATTTTGGCTCAGGTCATGATCTCACAATTCATGGGATCGAGCTCTGCATTGAGCTCTGCTCTGGCAGCTTGGAGCCTGCTTGGGGTTCTCTCTCTCCCTCTCTCTGCCCCTCCCCTCTTCTCTCTCATGCATGCACCCTCTCTCTCTCTCTCAAAAATAAATGAATAAACATTAAAAAAAACATGGCTGTAGTCTGTCCAGATCACTTGCCTCATCTTTCTCTAAACTAATTTTTAACAAAGAGCCGCTCTTTTTTCAAAGATGAGCAATAGTCAGAAAGACTTATGCATAATTAGTACAATTTTCAGTAAACAAGCTGGTATTTGTAGCCTTTCCTCGCCAAAACCCTAAAATGACAGTGAAGAAATATAAAAGGGTCTAACTCCTAAGGCAGTGAAAGGCAACTAAGTTAGCAAAGTGGAGGAACATATGACTTAAAGTATCTGCAGAGCCCAGGAAGGCACCAGATACTGTGTAAAGTGGGGTCAAGGCATAGGATGAAATCAGCTATTGTTAAATATTAAATCCTAGGCCTCTTCCTCCACCCCTTAAACCAAGGTGACCACCAGCCCAAGCAGGAAACTATAGATTCAGTCTCTGTAGAAACTACATCTGAAAAGCTCTTTTCTTGGGGACACACATCGCAGAGGGGCTGCTGATATCACGTGGAATTAGAAACACAGGGATTAAGAATAATTCTACCCTATCATCTGACCCAGCAATTCCACTGGTGGGTATACACCTTCGAGAATTAAAAATATAGGTTCACAGAAACTTGCACACAAATGTTCATAGCAGCTTTTTTTTTTTTTAATCTTAGCCTAAAGGTGGAAACCACCCAAATGTCCATCAACTGATGAATGGATAAACAAAATGTGCTGTATTCATATAATGAAATATTTTTGACCATAAAAAGTAGTAAAGTACTGATATATGCTGCAACATGAGCCAACCTTAAAATCATTATGCTAAGTGAAAGTAGCCAGTTGCAAAAGACCACTCATTATATGATTACATTTGTATGAAATGTCCAGAATAAGCAAATCCAGAGACAGAAAGTAGATTAGAGGTTGCCAGGAGCTAGGAGAGGAAATGGGGGTGACTGCTAATTGGTATGTTTTTTGGGGGGGAGGGGCGATGAAAATGTTCTGGAAGTAGACAATAGTGATGGTTACACATCTCTTTGAAGATACTAAAAACCAGTAAGCAGTATACTTTAAAAGTGTAGATTTAATGGTATGTGAATTATATCTCAATAAAAGAGGAGAAAGAAAAAGTGAAAATCCATGAGATCCTCCACAACTTTAGCTTTCAGTCCAGAGAGTCAAAATAAGTGATTTTAAATTATGCATCAGATTGATTACAATAGTAAAGTACTGGGGTGCCTGGGTGGCTCAGTCGGTTAAGAGGCTGACTTTGGCTCAGGTCATGATCCCATGGTTTGTGAGTTCGAGCCCTGCATCAGGCTCTGCTGTCAGCACTGAACTCACTTTGGATCCTCTGTCCTCCTTTCTCTCTGCCCCTCTCCCACTTGCATTCTGTGTCTCTCAAGATAAATAAATAAGCTTAAAAAAAAAGTAAATTACTGGAAACAATGGAAATGTCTGCCAAGAGATTGGGTTAAAAAAAAATATGAGGGGCGCCTGGGTGGCGCAGTCGGTTAAGCGTCCGACTTCAGCCAGGTCACGATCTCTTGGTCCGTGAGTTCGAGCCCCGCGTCAGGCTCTGGGCTGATGGCTCAGAGCCTGGAGCCTGTTTCCGATTCTGTGTCTCCCTCTCTCTCTGCCCCTCCCCCGTTCATGCTCTGTCTCTCTCTGTCCCAAAAATGAATAAACGTTGAAAAAAAAAATTAAAAAAAAAAAAAGATACATCATGCCCATGGAGTGCAATGCCACTACTTACATAATGTGGGAGAAATAGATTTAATGGCATAAAACATATATGACACATATGACATGAAGAAAACAGATTGTAAAATAGAATGTATATTGTCATCTTGTTTTGTAAGGGAAAATTATGCATTTCTGTCTGGAAGTATAAATAACAAAAGGTTAACCTTGGTGGGCGGGGTGTGGGGGTGGGGGGAGAGTAAGTCTGTGTCCTGAATGGTACACCTGCAGCTTCTTTCTCTCACTCTGCTCCTGGGTCATAAAATGCCTTCATCTCCCAAAAAAGGAGAGACACATAAGTAAAAAGCAGATGAAAAACTTATATCAGAAGAAGGGTTATGTCAGGAAACAGAGTCCAACAAATAATTCTCCATGATCTTAAAGAATGTGAGATGAGAGAGTCTCTCTTTGACAAGACAGCTCAAAGAAAAGATGCAAGAGTGCGAAGAAGAAGAGATTCTAAGGCCACAGAAGGAGGTGAAAAGTAGGCTGGAAGAAGGAAGAAGGAAGAAAATATCACAGTAATATCACAGAGATAAGTACACCATTAGAAGCAATAAAAACTGGAATAAATACAATGGAAAAAGATTTCTGAATGAATACAATTGAGAACACAAATGAAAATGAAACAAAAAGAAAGCATTGTAAATATTTAGAAAAAAGATGATGACTGTGAAAGGCATGTATAAAGGGTACAAATACAGATACAAAGGTTAAAATAAAAAAGATACACAGAAGTACAAAAGATGTATTCTTGGCATTCCTGAAGTAAAAAGCACAATAAATGGAATAGAAAAAAAATACTCATGAATGTTCTAGAAACCTTCCAGAAGATAAATATTTGAATCTACAGATTGAAAAGACAGAACATACCCTAGGAAAAAACTGATACAGATTGATCACAGCAAAATTTGCTAGTTTTTCTCCAGTGTTCATTCTCCCTTCTTCCATTATAGTGGAATGTTTGTAGCTGGGTATATAGTCACCCAGAATAAAGACTGTATTTCCCAGGATTTCTCCTGGTTAGGGAGGGTCATATGACCAAGTTCTGTCCAGTGGGATGTGAGCAAAAGATTACTGTGTGCAACTTCTGGGTGCATCCTTAAAGGGAAGGAATGTGATTGATCTTTTTCCCTTTCCCCCTTCCTATTGGCTAGAGTATGCATCTTGGTATATGGACAAGGACAGCTCCCTAGGGATGGTAAAGCAAAAAAATAGAAAGACCCTGAACCTCAGGATTTCGATAGAGAATTGCTACTATATCAGTTTATATCATTAAATGAGAAACTAATACATTTCTCTTATTTATTTTTTAAAGGAAACATTTTATTTTTTTAATGTTTATTTATGTATTTTGAGAAAGAGGTGGGGGAAGGGCAGAGAGTGAGAGAGAGAGAGAATCCCAAGCAGGCTCCATGTTGACAGCACAGAGACAGACAGGGGGCTCGATGTCACCAACTGTGAGATCATGACCTGAGCTGAAATCAAGAGTCAGATGCTTAACAGACCGAGCCACCCAGGTGCCCCATTTCTCTTTCTTAAAGCCACTGTTATTTTGGGTTTCTGTATGAATTTCTATCCTAAACAACACACTGATTAAAGTATATATTGGTGAAGTTGCTGAATTTCAGAGCCAAAGAAAGAAATTTAAATATATACCACCTGGGTGGCTCAGTCCGTTAAGCGGCTGACTCTTGGTTTCCGCTCAGGTCATGATCTCACAGTTCATGGGGTCAAGCCCCAAGTTGGGCTCTGTGTTGACAGTGTGGAGCTTGCTTGGGATTCTCTCTGCCTCTCTCCGCCCCTTTCCAGTATATATATATATATATATATATATATATATATATATATATATATATATCTCCAAGGAGAAGAAGCAAGTCATATACAAGGAATAAATGTCAGGGGTGCCTGGGTGGCTCAGTCAGTTAAGTGTCCACCTCAGGTCATGATCTCACAGTTCGTGACTTCATGCTTGGGATTCTCTGTCTCTCCTTCTCTTTCAGCCCCTGCCCTACTAGCTCGCTTTCTGTCTCTCTCTCAAAAAAAAATTTTTTTTTTAATTAAAAAAATTAAAAAAAAAATGTCAGTTAGACTTTGGCTTTCCTCAAAGCAACATTCATTGTAAGAAGACAAAGGAGCAATGTCTAAAAAGATCTGAGGGTAAGAATAACCCAAGAATTTTTGTTCAATTTGCCCTTTAAGTATCATGACACAGACCCTTTCAAGCATGCAAGAATCCACAAGACCTATATAAAAAAAAGACTACTTGATGACAAAATCCCACCAGTGAAGGGATGACTCCAAACATAGGAATGGAGAAGTCATGGAAAAAGAACAATAATGAACACCAGTGCCATTTATACACAGAGACAAACAGACAACTGTGGGAATTGTGGTAAAAGAATGGAATGCAAATATTATTAACCTTTCTTATGTGAAAATGACACAACCAAAAAATTAGGAGGGGGCAGCGGAAGAGGAAATGGGAGAAAGTAGAAGTGTGTTAATTTCCTCATGTTTGTTGGCTGGAACTCAATTGATAATGCCTAAAGGTGAAACATGCTTTTAAAAATAACTCAAAGCTCTTAATGTTATCATTTTTTTTTTAATTTAAAGGGTAATTTTTAGGAAGCTGGTGTCAAGAATT